CATCCACCAGCTGGGTCACCTGATCATAAAAGGAGATCAGGTTGGTCAAACAGGATCTGCCCTTCCTAAACCCATGTTGGCTGGGTCTGATCCCTTGTCCATCCTGTAGCTGCTGTGTGATTGCACACAGGATGATCTGCTCCATAACTCTGCCAGGCACCGAGGTCAGGCTGACAGGCCTGTAGTTACTAGGGTCAGCCTTGCATCCTTTCTTATGAATTGGAGTGATATTTGCCAACTTCCAATCATCTGGGACCTCCCCCGTGAGCCAGGACTGTTGGAAGATGATGGAGAGCGGCTTGGCAAGCTCTTCTGCCAGCTCCCTCATTACCCTAGGATGGATCCCATCTGGTCCCATAGACTTGTGAGGATCCAGATGATTCAGTAAGTCACCAACTATTTCCTCCTGGAATACAAGGGGGCTATTTGGTTTTCTGTCTCTGTCTACCAGCTCCAGAGGCCAGTTGCCTTGAGGGCCACCTGTCTTACTGGTAAAAACTGAGGCAAAGTAGGTGTTAAGTACCTCAGCCTTCTCCTCATCTCTATTAACTATGTTTCCCTCCAAGTCCATCAAAGAATGGAGGTTTTCTTTGCCCCTCCTTCTGTTATTAATGTATTTATAGAAGGTCACGGTCCCGCCGCTCGGGGACAGCCCCGGCGGCCGGCAGAGCTTGTCCCAACCTGCTGGCACGATTTACCCCGTCCCGGGATGGGGAGCCGATGGGGAGCCCTCCTGTCTGGTTCGGGGGAGGGTCCCCGGGGGGATACGAGGGGCGCAGGGGCAGAGTGGCAGCGCTGTGTGACGTGAGCTGCCATTAAACTCCCACCTTCTTCCGCGGGTGCCTGGCACGCTCGGCCCCCTCCTCGCCGAACCCGCCTTTCACTCATGTAGTTAAGAAAAGTTAACTTTTCTATTACCGCACATTCCTCTTACCCGGGTGCTTAATTACCATTGTCCCAGGGAAATGTCAGTGTGACTCAGAGACACTTTCCCATTAGGAAGAGACAGATGAATATCAATTAGAGTTGCTGGTGGGTGGGCTGGCTCCCAGCTTCTCTCCCGGGGGACCCTGTCACCCCCCACGCCTGCCTGGACCCTCTCACCCAGCTCAGCACACCTGTGGCACGTTGCTCTGGGGACAGCAGTAACTCGACCTGCCACCTGGAGCAAAGGGAAGGAACCTTATTCCAAACGACTTTTCCCTCTGTGTCCATGGGGTTTGCTCCATCCCTAGGAACACCTCTCCCTCCAGTGCAATTACCCTGCGTGGGGAGGCGGCTGCACCCCAGGCTGCTGCGTGTATGTACACAAATATATATCTTTATATTTATATAAAAATAATGGATTTGGTACAGAAATGCTCCTCCCCACCACGTTTACAGTGCCTGCGGGACAGCCAGTCCTGGCAAAAAGGATTAAACTGCCTGGGGGCTGCTCACAGCCCCTCGCCCAAGGTTTGAAGCTGTGTTTTGTTCTCAGCTTTGTTCTGTGCCTGCACAGACCAGCACAACCCAACACAGTGAGGAGGGGCCATGGCTGCTCTCTGCTGGTGTGCTTCACGGGGCCTGAGCTCCATCCCCCCTCACTGCAGCACCCAG